CTAACATTTTAACAAGTTGGCTTAATTGTCACAAAGCTGAGACTGAGGAAGGGGGACTATGAATACCCAGTCTGGGGGAAATCCAGAGTCTTGCAAACTTGGCTCAGAACATCCGAGAGCTCCAGGTGTGGCTGCTTCATTTGACTGGTAGAAGTTTCCTGCCAAGTACACCCTCCTGTGCAGGAAGGAGTATTTCCATGAGCATGATAAAGGACTCAGTAGATCTGAATCTAGATCACCTTGGGTTTATGGGAAGAAGTGGTGCAGAACCCTGTAAGCATGCCGAGAAGCATTTATTGGTCACTTCTGGAGCCTCAGTGCACTCCTTAAGGCATGGCACTGGGTAGATCTGCTTCTTTATACCTTTGAGCCTTGGTTTACTCTTGCATCCTGTGTCTCAGTGGGAACAAGTGGAAACATATGTGAAAGTATTTTGCAAGTGTCAGATTGTGTTGTTGGGACCTTTATCATGCATTTTAGAGCATCCTGCTAGGGACCTGTGATGTCAGAATTCAATGAAGTTATAGTATTAGCCAAATTGCATTTGCATGGTAATTGGTGCCATGGTGACAACATGCATCCCAAGTATTTCTAGCAAGAAGCAGCCATGGAGGCAGACAGCTTTCTGTGATTTGAAAAGTTTTTGAAAGAAAAAGTTAGGTCTGTGGTCTTTTGGAAGTAACTACAGATTTCAGAAGGAGGATAATACACCAGACATTTATTTTAGAAGTACCTGTGGTGGTGTTGTGGAGACTAAACTGGGAGGGGAGAGACTGGAGGTAGGTAGACATTGTTATAATCTAGGCAGAGCTCATAGTAGAGTAGGTGAGAGAAGAATCCCGAAGCGAGTCAGCTGGGGTTTCCATCCTGTTTGTTTATTTAATTATCTGGGTGTATTAGTCTATGAATGGGATTTGTGTGCAGCTGAGACACTGCTAACTAGGTAAAGCTCTTAGAGTGGGCTTTGGCACATTGTGTACAGTCATATCAAATCTGTCATTTTAACTCTCAGTATACAACTAGTGGTGCTGAGAATATTTACAGTGCCATGGAACAGTTAACACTGTTCTCAAAGCCACAAGCAGAAGTTTTGTGATTATTAAATAATAATTCCCCATTTGCTTTTCCCTGCTCCTAGGTAACCTCTAACATAGTTCCTGAATTTGCCTATTTTAAAGACCTCATCGAAGTGAAATCATGTATTTGTCCATTTGTGTCTGGCATCTTTTACTTAGAGTGTTTTCTGCGCTCATCTGTGTTGCATTGTGATTCAGAACTCATTTTTAAGGCCAAGTACTATTCCATGGTATAGGTGTACAGCAGTCTACTTATCCATTTATCTGTTCATGACCCTTGAGTTTCTTCTTTTGGCTATTATAAATAATGTGGTAAGCATTGACACGTGCCTGTTTGCCTGCATCCATGCTTTCAGTTCTTTTGAGTATATCCCTAAGAGTAAATTTGCGGTCATGTGGGGTTCGTCATTTAACTTTGAGGAACTACTTCACTGTCCTCCACTATTTTACATTTTCTTCAGCCATACAGAAGGGCTTCATTTGCTCCAAATCCTTATATCAGTTCCTGCTCTCTCTCTCTCTCCCTTTTCTTCTCTTCCTCTTTTTCCCTCTCTCTCTTCCTCTCCCTCTTCTTCTCTCTGTCCCCCTTCTTCCTCTTCCTCTTCCTTCCTCTCTCTCTCCCCCTCTCCCTTCCTATTGCAATTCAAGATGTCTCAGTCATTTGAAGGGGTATATCATTGTGGATTTGATATCCATTTCCCTAAGGACCAATGAGTGAGCACTTTGCCATAAGTGTATTGACTATTTGTACGTTTCCTTTGGAGAAAATGTCTAAGGCTTTTGTTTTTATCCATTTTTTTCAAGACAATAGAGAGAAACAGAGAGAGGAAGTGGTCAAGCCAGACTGGGAGACTGGTTAGATAGGGGACAAATCTGACTTTTCCAGCCCGGGCTAGACCTTTTCCCTTATGAGAAGGGGTGGTTAGAGGAAGGCATTGGCCTTCCACAGGGTGCACTGAGCCAGGGCATTGTTCAGGTGAGGCGCTTGCAAAAGAGTTCAGTGCCTTGTCATGCACCCTGATTTTTTTTTCCTGGAAAAAAATGAGTTTCTTATACCCAAGAAACAACTTAAGAACTTTAGTCAAATAAGAGCAACCATGGAAGTGAAGGGATGACAAAATGTGGTATATCTAGGCAAGCTTCTAATGATATCTGCCTGTTCTGCTTGCTTCTGATAGGTTGGTCCTTTATAGCCAGCCTGCTCATGTCATACTGCCCAACACCACTAGGACCTGTGTACTGTTGAGAACCATAGCTTCTGAGACTTCTACTGAGCATTTTATCACCACAATTTTCCTTCGCCTTTTTACCTCATCCCAGATATGTGCCATTGATGGTGAATGGTCATGTTGCCACCATGGTCCACTGAATGTCTTGGGATTACTCCATGGCAAAGGTAGAGGGCTATTGTTAGCAATCATTAGAGATACAAGTACATTTGGTGGCTTCTTTTGTCTTCAAGAGCCGTAGCCGGCTAGCAGCCATCATGTGGCCCAGGCAAACAGTGTTTGCAGATTGTCCCCTGATGCCATCTGCCTCTGAGGCTACAGGAAGCCCCAGCAACTGCTGTTGTAGCAGGTGCTAGGGCTGCTGAGGTGGGAGTCCCTGTACACATACAAACATATGCACACACACACACACACATGCATGCATAAAGGCACACACCAGCAAATTCATGTGATATGCAGAGGTACTGCTGCTGGTGTGGGGCTTAGGAATGTCAGCTGAAACTCTCAGCTTAACAAGGCCCCAGCCCAGTTGCTGGTTTCCGGTGGGGCCCTGGTTAAGGAGCAACAGAGGGTGAGGCTGTTGTGAAGAAAGCTAGTGACTGGCTTAGGGGTAGAGACCATGTTTTGACAAGTATTTGTTGTTTTCTTTCCACCTCAGCCTTACTCAGGTTAGAGGAAACCAACTCTATTTCTTCCCTTGCTGTTTTCAAATCACAAATGTCTGATGTGTGAGTCCTTCTGCCATTCAGGCTTCAGGTCTGGCTCCCTAAGCTTTGGTTTGTACCTAAGTCAGTGTGATCATGGGCTCAGACAAACATAGAAATGTCTTGGTTGGTTCAGAAGAATTACTATGTATAAGACCTGTACTTGTGTGACTTAGTATTATTTTGGATCATTAATGATTTTTCAAAGAACTATGTAAGTTATTAAAGCAATATAAAGTATATGTTGAGTATTCCTTATCCAGAGTGCTTGGGACTATTTCAGTTTTTGGATTGGAGGGGATTTTGCATTTACCTAAAGACATCTTGCAGTTAAATTCTAAAGCTAAACACAAAATTAATTTGTTTCGTATATGCACATAGGCTGAAAGTAATTTTATGCACCATTTTCAGTGCACCTCTGTTTTAGCTATAATCTATCACATGGGGTCAGCTGTGGAAACTTCCAGTTGTGGGATCATATCAGTGCTCAAAAAGTTTTGCATTTGGACCAGTTCATGTTTTATGTTAGGAACAATCTGCCTGTGACTAAGTCATACATTGGCTATAAAAGATTCAGCTCTCCCCTCTCTCTCTCTCTCTCTCTCTCTCTCTCTCTCTCTCTCTCTCTCTCTCTCTCTGTGTGTGTGTGTGTGTGTGTTTATATTTATATATGTATGGATGTGTATGCACATGTGAAATCTGGAGGCCGGAAGAGGATGCTTGTGACTTGCTCTATCATTCTGTCTTAGTCCTTAGTGATGGTTCTCAACTTGTAGGCAGAAACCCTTTTGGAAGGTCACAGATCAGATACCCTGTTAATAACATGTCTTGTATATCAATCAATGTTTATACTCTGATTAGCAGTAGCAAAATTACAGTTATGAAGGTGCAATGATATAATTGTATGGTTGTTGGTCACCACAACATGAGGAACTATACTAAATGGTTGCAGTATTAGGAAGGTTGAGAACCACCAATATAGGGTCTCTCATTAAACATTGTGCTGGGCTTGTGGCCAGCAAGCCCCAGCAGTTGTCCTGTATCTTTCCCAACCCCTGATGTTGCTGGAGTTACTGATACACATGCAATAACAACAGGCTTTTTACTAGCTCAGGTTTTCATGTTTGCACTCATTTGAGCCATTGCTTCAATTCCAAGATCCAGATCTTTAAAATTGCATCAGTTGATTATTTGATTAATTTTATGGATGTCAGAGGAAAACTTTCTAAAATTGTCTCTCTCCTTTTACCATGTGGGCCCCAGGAATTGAATTCAGGTCATTTAGTAAATTCCTTTATCCATTGAGCTTCATGTCTGTAACTTCTCCTCAACTCCGGAATTGGAGCATCAAACTAGCCATACAAAATACACATGAATGCACTAGTACTCTAATGAAATTTTATTTATAAACTATCATGATGGGCTGGAATTTGCTGACCTAAAATCATAGTCATTATTTTTATTTTTGTCTGTCATTTAGATCTTATCCTTTTTTTTTTTTTTTTTTTGGTCAAGAATTAAAAAGCTAGAGGAACTAGAACTACAAATGCATTTAAATCATCTTTTGAGTTTAGTATAATTATGAGTATAGTGGTGATTTGCATATGTAGTTTTTCTAAACCTTTTTTGAGAAGAATACAAATCAAAGTTTTTGAAGTGTGGCATGTGCTTGGCTGGGGCATAGTTGAAAAAAAAGTAAAAGAAGCCATAATTTAGACTTATATGCTGGTGTTTACATTTCAATCATTCTCTTGATGTTCATGTGGAGTGGCCCCAGTCATATAAGGTAACCTTACTATACTGGGCACTATTCCACTTTATAGGGCTACGTATTTCTTTAACAAACATAAGAAGGAAATTACACAAATTCAGACAGTGGCGTTTGTCAAATATTGTGCTGTGCTTATGTGGCATTGTTATTGTTCATTTCCAGAGGAGTGCAGAGGCACCCCTAAACTTCAGACTATAAACACTTCCTTCCTTTTTTTCTGACCTCACAGGAAATAAAGAAAGATATGAAGAAAGACCCTCTGTCCAACAAAGCTCCAGAGAAGCCCATGCACGATGTAGCTGTTGGAAATGCTTTGCTGTCTTCTGAAACCATTTTAAGAACCAATAAGCGAGGTATGGCAAATGGGGACCTTTCTCCCTGCATATGGACACATCTGGAAACCTCTGTATGCATGATGTCAAACTGAACATTGCTGAAAAGTTGAAGAGTTTGTCTTTCTGGTTTTTAGTATCAATTTTGTATGTATGTGTGTGTATACACACACACACACACACACACACACACACACACACACACAAACAAACAAACACGCCCCTAGTAACTTTGTAATAAAAAGAACTAATGAATTTTTTTTTCAGAGGAAAGTTGAGCAAGCTTGTAAATGACTTTTTAAGGCATTTAGCTTCAACCTTCATACCTGTTTGTGTGGGTGAATTATGAGTCTAGAGAGCAATAAAGTACAGGCTGATCTGAGAATGTCTGCCCATACTCTCCTTTGAATTACAGTCAACTCTGTTAGCATCTATCTCTCTAACTGCCCAGCTCCCCAATACAGACCCTGCATCCCTGTGTTTATAAGGAAGATCATTCAATGGTAGAGCTAGTACATCATCTAACCAAGAAACCCTTTAACAATCACAGTCTTGTTTTCATTCTTTTGAGACCTTAAGTCACTTTAGGTGTAAGCTTATTAAAACTGCTTTGGTTACCAACTTCCCTGGTTATAGTTGTTTTTTTTTTTTTTTTTGAAGGATGTGAGAGAGAATCTAAGGTTCCAGAGTGTACCCTACTCAGTTCTGGACTGTGGGGCATACTTGGTACTGTTAGCACTTCCTGACCTCAGGTCAGCCAGGGCCTACAGTGAGATGAGCATGCCCCTGCAAGGTCAGATTTCAGCTGCCCTCTTTTCCTGGGCTTACTACATCCTTAAAAGGGAATTGGGAGCTGTTCAAAACCAGCAGGAAGAAATGTATTAGCAAAGGGTTCCATTAACAAGGGGAAAAAAGAGGCACGTTTACATAACCACAGGCAAGAACAGCTAATCTTTCATAAAATTTAGACAGCATGAGAATTTGTCTAATAAACTGCCCATTGATCCTAGTTCTGGTAACATTGGCTTTGTGTCTCTCTTCCTTCCGGCCTCTTCCACGGCCCCCTCCAGCTGCTCTGGGTTCCATTTCCTATTTTGAATTATTCACATGAAATATTGGCTAGAGGCCCAAGTTGGTTAGCAGCTATAGGATTTTCTTTCTTCTCTTCTTCTTCTTTTAAATCTCATTGTATCCAAATTGGGGATTTCCCATTTTAAGAATTTATCTTATGTTACTGTAAAACTGTAATCTTTGCAAAGTGCTTTCTGAATTCTTAAAAAATTGTATTTTGAGACACAGTCCCACATAGCTCAGACTGTTCTTAAACTTGGCCAAGGCTAGTTCTAAACATTTAATCTTCTTGCCTCAACTTCCCCAGTGCTAGCATAACACCATGTCTGGCCTGAGCTGACATGCTCAGCGCTCCATTCTTGCATGTAGATTCCCCAAGTCCAAGGGATACTTTGTCTTTGGATTTGAGGGATGGAGTCCAGTGAGTCTTCTTTCTGGCGCTTGGGAGCATTCTCCTTCCTATGGTTCTTCTCAAGTCAGTGGGTCTAATAATTTCATACACAGTGACCAGTAGTAAGGACTTTCTGGTCAGCCCTGCTATTTTATAAAGTCGATAAGAGACTTAATTAATTTCAGAAGAGAAGGAATTAATTAAGGTAAAGAATGAAGGTAATTATGTGCATGGGTTCAGTGAAATTACCTGAGAACTTTAAGTCAACTAAAGAATACAACTTTTCAGGTAACTGTTTCTTTAGAACTGAAACTCTGGCCTTTAAGTTCCCCAAATGGAATTTCTTGTTCACCAGACAAATGAGTTCCAAGAGGTACTTTACTTGATTGGTTTTAGCCTTCCATCTTAGGTCTACAGCCAGATGAAGACCAGGCTTTTATAATTGGGGTTTTATATGCCAGGAACTATGAGACTTGAATAGCAAAGGTATCCTGTAACTGAATCCCATATCAGCCCATCTCTATTCTGTTCCAGGCTTCACACTGACCTGCTAGGTCACCTGGGCCAAACACCAATTCCCAGATGAAGGGAAGCATTGTGTACCAGGATGAGTGCTGTTTGATCCTCCCCCACCCCATTAAGACTAACACTATTTTTCCCCTCCTTACAATAATCAGTATGTGTAGTGGAGACTGATTGGCCTTGTCAGGCCAGATAAATAGTTCATTGTATGGATCTCAAAAGCTACATTTCTTTCCTACCCAAAATCAATAGAAACACACACACACACACACACACACACACACACACACACACACACACACACACACACACACACACACACACACACACACACACACACACACACACACACACACACACACACACACACACACACACACACACACACACACACACACACACACACCCCTCCCTTAAAACAAAGATCAGAAGCTAAATCTGTGGAAGGTCATTCTAGTTCCTCCTAAACACTTCTGTAATTTTTCGAGTTATTGAAGTTTACCCTTCCTCTTTTGTTTCCATCAAGCTTTGTCCTTTAAACCTTTAGGTTTAAGCCTGTCTGTATTTTTATAGCTATGATTAAGGGAGGAACTCAGTTTTAGGGTTTGAAAGTCTGTTTTGATTTACTAGTGTGGGATTTTTCTTCAGGTATATGTATCTATCTTGTTAATCCCACCTCAGACCCTGTGATAATTTAGCAGGAAACACAAATTCCCTTCAATTTAGTCAAAGATGGGAGGGCTCTTTTTTTTTTTTTTTTTTTTTTTTTTTAAATGAACCTTGTCATTTGATTCAGGCTAGGAATTGGTTCAGTGAAGGAAGAGTCTATTCTACTCTGGCTCTGACTCTGAGCTTGAGCCATATCACTGAGGCTCAAGACAGCCTTAGCTGAAGAGGTTTAACCAGTTGTATCCAGCTGTTGTTACTGCATTTTGTAACAGCCCCCACTTTGTGACAATTACAGACAGACAGACAGGTTTTAGTACTTGGCAATCTGGAATAAGCTTGCCTTCCCCTGAATAAGGGCAGAAGAATTTGAAGTCTAAAGGAAGTTCTTCATAACCCTGAGAAAAGCGCAGGGGCATAGAACATAACTGTTAGGACATGATTAGCATCAGTTGTGACATTCAGAGTTCTAAGCCTGATTGATTATGGAGAGATAGGAATGACTCCTTGGGTCTATTGCTTGAGAAGGAGAAAGATGCTGCTCAAGTTCAAAGAGAAAGCCAATCACCCAGATGGCTTGAGAGCCATCAGCTGCCCATTGGGGCATTACAGCATCAGACATGGGCAACTGTCCCTACCTCTGGTCACAGTGACAGAATTTTTGGCCCAGACAAAAACTAGTTGAAAGTGACATCCTATTTTATAATTTCTTTTCTGTTAAATCCATACAGAAGAATGATGGGCCCTCCTAAATTGGAACATGAATAGGTAAAGGGAATGCTTCTTTTAATGTTCAAAAACACGAGTTGAGAAGCAAAATTAAATAAAATGGAAGTTTTAACAGGTACTAGAAAATATGTTCCTAAAGATGAACAGTTGGCTTTGTCCATCTGAATGCTCTTTTCTACTTTAATTCAAAACAAAATTAAAATCATGTGGTTTCATCTTTAGAAGGAATCCTGCTAAGCTCTGTCCATGTGATGGATTATATCTGGAGGCTATAGTCTACTTCACTGGCCTGGGAGAAGACCCAGTTTTATGCCAGGGTCTGACTTCCATCATTAGCAGGCCGGGGGTGGGGGGAGGAAACTTTACCTCAAAATCCCCCTCCTTGCTTCCTGTGATTTTGGACATTGTTCCTTAAAAAAAAAATTGGTGCACACCAGTGAACACTTTGTAGCATGTGTTTATTGCATGCCAACTTTGCACCCAATTCAGTGCCTGGTGCTGCTACAAAACTAGAAAACCAGCAGGCAGTCCTGCCTGTAAGCACTCCAGGCTATGTGCCCCATGGGGAACATTGAGAAAGCACTGTCCACTTATTACATCTTTTTTAAAGAACAAGGTGGGGGATTATCTCTTACTGACTTTTGTCTTTCATAATGTGAAGCCACTCGGTGGGTTTCTGGTTGGCTTTATGTGTCCTTGTTTCTATTTCCAGTTTATCATGCATTCAGTGTTTGGTAAGTGTCTATTGTATTTTGTGCATTTCCCATTCTTTGCTATTCCTACTGTTATTGTTATGCTCTCCTAATATAAATTGTATTTTATAATCATCTTTTTAAGCCGCTCTGCTACTTTGGCATCTGCCTTCTGAAAGATAAACTGCTTCTTACCATCTTTATTTAAGGTTATGCATTTGCATTTTAGTAACCCTTCCAGAGAGACATGCTGAATGATCTGACAGTTTTAAAGATGTTATTGGTAACAGGTCTAGCTCTGATGCTGTGAGGTGAGATCATCTGTCTCACGTAAGATTCTGGTTAGGATGGGGCCAGGGTTGCTCCCTGAACCGGTAGGTGAATCTGACTTTAGAGAACATTGCACTGTGGGTTCTGTTCTGATACATTTTAGCATCTTCTTCTGACTCAAAAGCCTTCCTTAATGGAAGGACCAAATATGCACTGCCTCTGGTGACACACCGTTGCTTTAGAATCAGCATGGAAACCCTTCAGAATTCATTTGCATGTGGATGGGTGGTGCTTGCATGCCCTTCATGTTAATGTGGGCCTCATATTTGCCACATAGAAGTGCTCTTCATTTGTAGCTACTACCTGTAGCTTTTCAGCAAATTGAACTAATGTGTATCCTTCATTCCCTTGTATCAGCAGTTGTATTCCAGTAGTAAATAGATATAGCTAAGTGACCATTCTCCTCTGTCACCTTTTCCTGAAATGGAAATGTATTTTAAAAATTCCATTTCTTTACATTTATCTTGGCTACCTGGTATAATACACCAAGGTGTCCATTGGACTGATTCATGAGAGTTTGGGTGAAGGTTAGAGTATGTGCAATACATGTGTAAAGATGAACATGCTGGCATGGAAAGCATATCATGGCTCAGAGGCTCAAAGGCATGGAAAAATATTTT